AAAAAAAAAAGGAAAAAAGAAAAGAGTAGAAAAGAAACTTCACGCCAACATTGTCACAAACTCCGGCTCAGTCGCCTTGAAATTCATAAATTTGTGCACGTAGATCCAAGTTTCCTCAGAAAACGTCGAATACTTACATGAATTATTAAAATACAAAAAAAGTACTTTCTATGCCCAGAGCGCAATTAAAAACCTTTTTAAAAGTGGAATATTTATCAGCCACAATAATGTAAATATTAAGGTCATATGATGTTCATGTTCAACATCACATAACCTTCTTAACACTCACAATTTTATTGTGGCTGATGAAGTTCGTTGGAACCGAACGAAATATTCCACTTTTAAAAAGATCTTTATTTGCGCTCCAAGTACAGATTTTTTTTTAATATTTTAATCATGATTCCAGGGCAGGAACACAATATTCTTGATTCTACATCATATTGTCTAATCATATTGCCTTGATGACAAATATTAAAATAGGATCCCAAAACTATACTATAAACGATTTAACGAAACGGTGTTTCATAAAACTAGCAAGAAATTTTTCAGTGTTGGCTGTTTATCGTGATACTGGACACATAACCACTGCTAAGAGAGATAACAAACAACAGGATCCTAAATAGCTATGAAACCGCGAGAATTTGCGATGTCATGCTCTACAAATTGTACAAACAGTGAGTAATAAATTAGAAATATTTTAAAAACCTTGTATATATATTAACTTATTTCTCATGTACATTGTAGATTTAAATACATATTAGACAAAACACCTCAACCAAAAGAGGTCCCTACCGAAGAATTACATATACATTAGCTCGCTGTGTACACACTCTTCAATGTACACCTCACAATATAACACACCCCATGAAATAAAAACCATAAAACACACCAAATACCTTATTACATGAAATTTTCGCGACACGTTTATTTCGCGATTTTGCCGTGCGCATGTTTCGCGACGCTTAAATTCCGCGATTTCGCGAAAATTTTGTACTTTGAACATGTTCACTTCGCGTTTTCGAGTAGCACACAATTCATTTCTTTGGCAATGTTACTTTAACGCGTCCTTGAATTTAGTAAACCGACTTCATCACTTGAATAATGTCAGAATTAACAAAAAAGCAAAGGCGGGACTGTATGTCAACAGTAACATAATGTGAGTCACTTAATTTTCGCGTCATGTTATGTTCGCGACACTTATTATTCGCGTCACTTTAATTTGTTTTAATTCGCGAAATTCACGAAATTAATGTGTCGCGAAAATTTCATGTAACAAGGTATTACATTAATGAGTAGAGAAACTTCTCCCAA